TTTTTCAGCTACTCTTCTCTCTGATCTTTCTCGTGAAGCGCGGGAACTGAAAGGTCTCGTGCCTTCGACTTTTATTTATAAAAGTGGAAATTACATATATTGCCCCTGTTTTAATAATATTTCCATTAAGAGTAACGTTATTTTTAGTTGCTCACTACGAGTCTACGACAGTCGTCCTACATGACATACATAGGTGGTCATTTGAGATATTAATTTGATAAATTTTTATTGACTCATGTATCAAATAATCACTTACCATGTATATGTCACATAGAGTGACTGCTGTAGTGAACGAATGCGAATAACATTATTCTTCTATTAATAATGATTTCTTGAAGTAAAAGTGGTTAAATTTTAGTCAACTGAGAGAGGGGTTTTTAAGGGCAACTCCAACATTGCACCAAATCCCCATTTGCACCAAGTATTTGGTGTAATGTCACTCCAATCTAACACCAAATTTTACACAATTTTGCACCAAATGGTTAATGTCCTCTTTGCCCTTCTTTTCCATTTTGCACCAACTTCTGTTAAGGGTATTTGTGTCACTTTCTTGTTATGCAACAAATTTTAATTCTTAATCAATTAATTATTATTATTATTTAATGTTATTATTGTTATTATTTAATATTTTCTTAGTTGTGATTTTTCTATTAATTATACTACAATCATTAAAATTTATTAATGAATTCAATATTTCGTTAGCGAAATGTAATTATTTATTTAATAATTTATGTAGTAGTAAACTCAATATATAAGTGATTTTTCATATAAATAAATTATTAAGAATGAAAAAAATGAAAGAAAATAATTATAAACCGTTCATTTGGTGTAACTTTTGATGTAATGAGTTGGAGATAATTATATACCGTGCAGGGTTGAAGATGGCCTAAGCAGTGTACAAGAGTAATTCACTAGTTATAAAGCAGTGGCCGATCTAAAGAAAATCATCATCTCTTTCTATTTTGGAACCTGAAGTTGGGTTATCTGATTCTCGAAGTCGGCAGCTTACTCATTCATTGGTTAAGATGGTATCGATATTGAATGAAATCCGTGTTCAACACTCGTCTAAAACTAGACGATAAACCCAAAGGAGAGAGAGGGCGATTGAAGCAGTAGATTTGACAAGTTGACTACTCCATTAAAGTATCGAGTACACCGCTTGTCAATTTGATGAGTAAACTTCATTCTTTTGCTCTCTTCTTTCTAAATTTTCTGCCTGCCTTTTATACACACATGCAAAAAACCTCATAGTGTNACACATGCAAAAAACCTCATAGTGTAATTAACCGAATCAATTTCTTAACATTTTTCCATCCAAAAGTATCAGTCACTATTTTCAAATGAACTTTTTTAACTATGCTTAATTATGAGCCCTTATGATCTCAGACACATTGGAATGAAAGGGGTCTTTATTAAGTTACTGCTAAGTTAAGATTTTATCAAGGCCATCCCTAAGATATTTGAGGATCTAGGAGACAAATTATTACGAAACTCTTAAATATAATTTTCTATAAGCGTATTGATCTCTTCAGTATCATTTATGTTCTATTCAAATTGATTTTTTTTATATTATTTTTGAAAAATTAGATGAGCCATATTAAAATAAGTAACTTATTTTTAACTTTCATAAAAATT